CCCGGCGGTGCTCGTCCTGTGGGTGCTGGAGCTGTTGGGTCTGCGAGTTCTCCTGGAGCTGGTGCTGCTGAGGGTGTTGGCGCTGAGCCTGCTGCTGGCGGTCCGACTGACAGTGCTCCTGGTGCTGCTGCTGGAGGTTCTGGAGCTTCTGGTGGTGCTGCTGGAGGTGCTACTGGAGTGGGTGCTCCTGCCGAGAGTGCTGGTGCTGTTCCTGCTGTTTCTGGAGTCGCCGCGCGGCCCCGACCGTACTTCGTTCCTCTCCTGCAGCAAGTTCTTGGTCTTCCACTTTCTCCTCCTCCCTTAGAGGGTCCGCAGCCTGTCCGGTCACAGCCACAGCTACAGCCTGCCTCCTCTTTGCCTGCTCCTTCTCCCTACGCTGGTCCGACTGGAGGTCTTACTGAGCGTCGTGAGCCTGCGTCTCGTCCTGCGTCGCCTGTTCGTCCAGAGCGCGCTAGTGGTCGCGGTTCGCGTCAGCGTCCTCCTCCTGTCCCTGGCACGCACCGGATGTCTCTGCGTCCGTCCACTGCTCCTCTGCGTGCCCCTTTGCCTTCTCCTCCTGCTTCCTCTCTTCCTGCTCTTGCCGACCCGGAGTCGGACTCTCTTCGTGCTGCCAGTCCTACTGTCACGCGTCTCCTTGCTACTGCTGTCACTGACCCTTCCTTCGAGTCGTCTGCTGCGTCTGCCCTTGTCACTGAGCTTGTCGACTTTGCTGCGCGCTGTCGTCTAGACTAGGCTGCCAGTCTTGTCGCTGAGTCTGAGTCTGCCTGTCCTCCGTCCGTCGGGGGTGAGTGTGCCCTCGGCACGGACGTCCTTGAGGACAGGCAGGAGGAGTTCCAGTGTCTGGCCGCCGCTTCACCCCATCTCGCGTCTGTACTGCTAGCCCCTGAGGGAGACCCGGATGCACCAGACATCCCGACTCCGCGCTCTTACGCGGAGGCGATAGAGGGTCCCTACTCCTCTCAGTGGCAGGCAGCTATGGACGCAGAGATGGCTTCCTGGAAGTCCACAGGCACCTACGTCGACGCTGTCCCCCCTCCTGGGGCGAACATCGTCAGTGGCATGTGGATCTTCAGGGTGAAGCGGCCGCCGGGTTCTCCGCCTGTCTTCAAGGCGCGTTACGTGGCTCGTGGCTTCAGGAAGCGGCAGGGGGTTGACTACTTTCAGACCTTCTCCCCCACCCCGAAGATGACCACTCTTCGGGTTCTGCTGCACGTTGCTGCTCACCGTGACTACGAGCTGCACTCTCTCGACTTCAGCACAGCTTTCTTGCAGGGCAGTCTGCACGAGGAGATCTGGCTGCGCCGCCCACCTGGCTTCACTGGGTCTTTCCCTCCTGGTACCCAGTGGAGTCTCCGGCGTCCAGTCTACGGTCTCCGCCAGGCGCCACGTGAGTGGCACGACACACTGAGGACTACGCTCGCGGCACTTGGGTTTGCTCCGTCTACTGCCGACCCGTCGCTGTTTCTGCGCACCGACACCTCTCTGCCGCCGTTCTACATCCTCGTGTACGTCGACGACTTGGTCTTTGCCACAGCTGACACTGCTGGACTCGCCTACGTGAAGTCCGAGCTGCAGAAGAGACACACGTGCACTGACCTGGGTGAACTGCGCAGCTACCTTGGCTTGCAGATCACCCGGGACAGAGCACGCCGCACCATTACCCTGACTCAGTCACACATGGTGCAGCAGGTCCTTCAGCGCTTCGGCTTCACGTACTCCTCGCCTCAGGCCACTCCTCTGCCTACTCGCCACTCGCTCTCAGCTCTGCCTTCGGATGAGTCCGTAGAGTCGAGTGGCCCGTATGCAGAGCTTGTTGGCTGCCTCATGTACCTGATGACCTGCACTCGACCTGACCTTGCATACCCTCTTAGCATTCTCGCACGCTATGTTGCTCCTGGGAGACACCGACCAGAGCACATGGCTGCAGCGAAGAGGGTGTTGCGCTACTTGTGCAGTACGTCAGGCATGGGGCTAGTGCTTGGAGGGCGCAGTCCAGTGGTCCTCACTGGGCACGCAGACGCTTCTTGGGCTGACGACCAGGCTACGCAGCGGTCGTCACAGGGTTACACCTTCAGCCTTGGTTCCGGCTCTGTTTCGTGGCGGGCTACCCGCTCGTGTTCTGTTCTCGGCTCCAGTTGTGAGGCTGAGATCTACGCTGGGGCTATGGCTGCACAGGAGTTACGCTGGCTCACCTACCTGCTGACCGACCTTGGAGAGCAGCCTCGTTCTCCTCCAGTCCTGTACGTAGACAACAAGGCCATGCTGGCCTTGTGTCGAGAGCAGAGACTGGAGCACAGGACAAAGCACATTGCTCTCCGCTACTTTCTTGCTCGTGAGCTACAGCAGCGTGGACAGTTGCGACTTGCGTACGTGGCCTCTGAGGCCAACACTGCTGATGTGTTCACCAAGGCACTTGCGCCTTGTGATCATCAGCGTTGCTGCACGCAGCTGGGTCTTGTGTCTGTCTTGCCTCACTTGCTCACTTCTTGACCTTCCTTGTACCTTCACATATATATAGTCTTGCTCTTGCTTGCTTGACTCTTGTATATCTCTATATATATGATCTTGCATGTGAACTGGCCTTGTGGCCCTTGAACTTGTGCTCGGAATGTGTGGTGACTTTGTGATCCACCCTGAGCTTTGCTTTGCTTTGCTTGACTGGTCTTGTGACCCCTTGTTCTCCCCCATTTTGCCTATGGGGGTGTGTCAGAACATTATAGCTTACTTATTTGTGTAGGCTATAGTGGGGTATCCCATAGGGGGTACAACACAGCTAGGGTTTCCTATTTGTACTCACTTCGTTCATAGTTCACACATTCTCTCGTTCACTTCTTGACACAGACATCCCGACTCCTCGATCGTACGCTGAGGCGATCGCGGGTGAGTACTCCTCTTAGTGGGAGTCAGGCATGGACGCAGAGATGGCATCCTAGAAGTCCACTGGCACTTACGTCGACAAGGTTCCCCCTCCTGGGGCGAACATTGTCAGTGGCATTTGGATTTTCAGGGTAAAGCGGCCGCCAGGTTCTCCGCCAGTCTTCAAGGCTCGTTACGTTGCTCGAGGCTTCAGTCAGCGAGAGGGAGTAGACTTCTTCCAGACCTTCTCCCCCACCCCGAAGACGACCACTCTTCAGGTGCTACTGCACGTTGCCGCTCAGCGTGACTACGAGCTTCACTGTCTTGACTTCAGCACTGCTTTCTTGCAGGGCAGCCTGCACGAGGAGATCTGGCTGCGCCGCCCTCCTGGCTTCACTGGGTCGTTCCCTCCTGGTACCCAGTGGAGCCTCTGGCGGCCGGTCTACAGTCTTCGCCAGGCGCCACGTGAGTGGCACGTTACACCGAGGACTACACTTGCGGCTCTTGGGTTCGCTCCTTCTACTGCTGACCTGTCGCTGTTTCTGCGCACCGACACTTCGCTGCCGCCGTTCTACATCCTCGTGTACGTCGACGACTTGGTCTTTGCCACTGCTAACCCTAAGGCTCTCGCCCTGGTGAAGTCGGAGCTGCAGAAGAGACACACGTGCACTGACCTGGGTGAACTGTGCAGCTACCTTGGCTTGCAGATCACCCGGGACAGAGCACGCCGCACCATCACACTAACTCAGTCACACATGGTGCAGCAGGTCCTTCAGCGCTTCGGCTTCACCTGGTCCTCAGCACAGGCCACTCCTCTGGCTACAGGTCATTCGCTCTCAGCTCCACCTTCGGACGAGTCCGTAGAGCCGAGTGGTCCTTACCCAGAGCTAGTTGGCTGTCTCATGTACGTGATGACTTGCACTCGTCCTGACCTCGCGTACCCTCTTGGCCTTCTGGCTTGCTACGTGGCTCCTGGTCGGCACCGAAAGGTTCACATGGATGCTGCTAAGAGGGTATTGCGCTACTTGTGTAGTACATCAGGCATGGGGCTAGTGCTTGAAGGGAGGAGCTCAGTTGTCCTCACTGGGCACTCAGACGCTTCTTGGGTTGACGACCTGGCTACTCAGCGGTCGTCACAATGTTACACCTTTAGCCTTGGCTCTGGTTCAGATTCTTGGCGTTCTACACGTTCGTCTCCAGTGCTGTACGTTGGCAACAAGGCTACCATTGCCTTGTGTGAGGAGCACAGACTGGAGCATAGAACGAAGCACATCGCTCTGCGTTACTTCCAGGCTCGAGAGTTACAGCAGCGTGGTCAGCTTCGTCTGCGTTACGTGGCCACTCGGGCCAACATTGCTGATATATTCACCAAGGCACTTCAGTCTTGTGATCATCAGCGTTTCTGCACTATGTTAGGGCTTGTGCCCACTTTTCCTCACTTGCTGTAGGCTTTGCTTGTACTGTGATCTATATATGTATATATACCTGCATGCTTGCTTTGCTAGGTAGAGATCACAGTGCTGTTTGTGTTGCATATATGCCTCTGCATGTGGACTTTTCTTGTGGCCCTTTGCTTGTGCTCAGAGTGTGTGGTGACGTTGTGATGCACCCTGAGCTTGCTTTGCCTTTCTTGACTGATCTTGTGACCCCTTGCTCTCCCCCACTTTGCCTATGGGGGTGTGTCAAATGTTACATCTGCTACAGTTTGTTTAGGCTGTAGTGGGGTAGTTACTATGGGGTACAGTAAGTTTAGGGTTTCCTACTTGTACCCAACTCTTTCCTAGTGCAATCACTCTTGTTCATTCTGACATCCAGAAGGTGCAGCCTTATCGTACATGCCACTTTTGAAACAACACCTGTACTACTACCGCGTCAGTCCATTACGACTATTGACTGACATGGACTGCAAGGGACTTCAATGGTCGCAGGGACTTCAATGGTCGCAACTAACTCGCCAATTACATGCTGCAACATAATAATTAAAGGATCACAATATTATCTACTACTGTGACCTGTATGAAGGATATAATATTGTTGATATCTTCACGTAGTGACTTCATGTAATGAAGAATGCAGCAGTGCTAGTTTACCGAATGTGCAGATATCGTAATCAAAGTAAACCATTCTAAAAAAAGATGATCTCAATGGTGACTTGGCACTATGTATCATACATGACAAAATTTATATGTTTTTCATCGTTCGATTGTTCACATCAGCATATTATCCTACGAGGATATCTGAATATAACCAAAATCATAATTGTCGGGCATATATGCTTTAGTCTTTGTAGGCTGTAGTGGGGCAGTTCATATGGGGTACAACACTTTAGGGTTTCCCACTTGTACTCCCCTTTCTGCTCAATGCATCCATTCTCGTTTCTCGTCATGGTATCGAGCAGGTTCCCTAGTGGGAACGCTACCGAGGGCCCACCACGATATATTTTTTTTTGTCCTGCCCGGAGCGCGCTTCACTCCTGCCCGAGTCGCACTCTGTGTGCCCTACCTACCTTCGCGCCGCCCTTAGTGGCCCCTCTCACGGCCCCTTACGCCGCCCTCACGGCCCCTCGCGCCGCCCTTTATGGCCCCTCGCGCCGCCCTTACGGCCCCTTCTGGCCCCTCGCGCTGCCCTTACGGCCCCGCACGCCGCCCTTACGGCCCTCACGCGACCCCCTTTCGGCCCCTCGCGGCGACCATTCCGGCCCCTTACGGCCCCGTCACCGCCCCGCTTAGGCCCCTTGCGGCCCCTCTCTTCGGCCCTGTCTAGGCCCCTTGCGCCCCCCCCCCTCCTTTGCGACCCCTCTGGGACCCCGTCGCCGCCACCTGCGGCCCCGTCCCCGCCAACTGCGGCCTCGACGCCGTCACATGCGGCCCCGTTGCCGCCACCTACGGCCCCGTAGCCGCCACATGCGGCCCCGTCGCCGCCACCTGCAGCCCCGTCGCCGCAACCTGCGGCCCCGTCGCCGCCACCTCCGGCCCCGTCGCCGCCACCTGCGGCCCCGTTGCCGCCACTTGCGGCCCCGTCGCCACCACCTGCGGCCCCGTCGCCGCCACCTGCGGCCCCACCGCCACCTATGGCCCCGTCGCCGCCACCTGCGGCCCCTTCGCCGTCACCAGCGACCAAGCCGCCGAGCAGCCCAGCAACCGAACCGCCCACCTGCCTAGCAGCCGAGCCGCCCAGCAGCCGAGCCGCCCAGCAGCCGAGCCGCCCAGCAGCCGAGCCGCCCTCCTGCCGAGCCGCCGAGCTGCCGAACTGCCCTACTCTCGAGCCGCTGCTGTTCCTACCAGTGCGCCCCGGCCCTCCTTCCTCGGACTGGTGAGCTCACTACCTACTAGGCCACTGCAGTCATGGCTACCCCCAGTGTCCTTCCTTTTGATGCTGAGGGCCGTGCCATTGACTTTGAGGTCTGGGTCGATGACCTCCAGCTGTTTCTCCAGTGCGATAGGGCAGACGGACTCTCTCTGCTCGATCTCACCTCTGGTGCCACTCCTGCTCCGCCTGCTACTGTTGACAGCACTATTCGCTCACAGTGGGCCACACGCGATGCTGCTGCTCGCCTTGTTATGCGTCGCCACTTACCATCCACTGAGCGTGCACACTTTAGCCGGTACAAGAGTGCTCATACCTTGTACGACGCTGTGGTTGCACGCTACTCTTCCCCTGCCACTACTGCACTGAGCCGCCTCATGCTACCATACCTCTTCCCTGACGTTGCTGCCTTTCCCACAGTCGCTGACCTCATTACGCACCTCCGCACTAGTGACACTCGCTACCGCACTGCGCTTCCTACTGAGTTCTGCGCCAAGAACCCCCCCCCCCCCCCCCCCCCCCCATGTACATCACCGTCTACTACATAGTCACCCGGCTCCCTAACTCTCTCCGCGCAGTCAAGGACCACTTCCTCTAAGTTTTCCCCGCCACTCTCACCGTTGACCTCCTCGAGAAGGGCCTCCTAGGAGCAGAGAAGAGCATTGTCGCTGTAGGAGCCTCTCGTGGTTCCCTTGCACCCCCGTCTTTGAGGAGTGTTCCCCCTCCCCCCTCTTGCCCTCTGTTGCCTCTACTACGGCGGCCGACCTCGTTGGTTTCGAGTCGGTCGGTGCTGCGTCTCCCCCGAGCGGGAGACGCTGCACCGGCAAGGGCAAGGGGGGCAAGGGCGCTGAAGAGGCTAGCGGGGGCAGTGGAGGTGGTGGTGGAGGCAGTGGAGGGGGTGGGGGTGGTGGTGGGAGTGGTGGCGGGGGTGGAGGTGTCGGTGGCAGCAGTGAAGGCGGAGGAGGCGGCGGCGGTGGTGAAGGGAGCGGAGGCGGCGGAGGCGGCGGTGGCGGCGGAGGTGGTGGAGGCGGCGGCGGCAGCAGTGGACCTGGTCGCGGCTCTGCGCAGAGGAGTGGCTCCGGTGGTGGTACGCGCCAGCAGCAGCAGAGCACTCGTGAGACCCTATCCCCTCAGCAGCTTCGTGAGTGGTACACTGCGCGTCAGCGCGGTGGGGGTACGGGTCCCTGCACCTACGTTCTCCGCACCGGCGACCGCGCTGGTGAGCAGTGCGGGGGCCCGCACTCCACCCAGCGCTGCTTCGGCCGCCTGACGGATGCGTGGCGTCACCTGTTCCCTCGGGCCTCTGAGATCCCTTGCTGGGGAGAGCTGTCTAGGGCGGGGGTTGCTATCTTTGATCTTGATTTTGATGTTATTCTTGCTGCCATGTATGCTGTTGATAGTGTTGCGGGTGACTGTTACCTGTGTGTACTGCCTGACCCGGGCATTGAGGCCACTGCTCTAGGTGCTGGTGAGACTGCTGCTCTAGGTGCTAGTGCGTCTGCTCCCCCAGGTGCTAGTGCGTCTGCTGCCCCAGATGCTGGTGAGTCTGCTCTCTCAGGTACTACGTCGGCTCAGGCCTTCCACACCTTCACCCTTGACTCGGGTGCGTCCCGCTCCTTCTTTCGAGACCGCACCACTCTTACACCACTCAGTCGACAGGTTGCGATCTCTCTGGCGGACCCCTCTGGGGGTGATGTCCTTGCTAGCTTCTCCACTGTCTTACCGTGCCCGGCAGCCCCCTCTGGCACCCTGTCAGGTCTCTATCTCCCCTCGTTCTCTACGAACTTGGTGAGTGGAGCGGACCTACAAGATAGGGGGGTTGACCAGTTCACTCCTGCGAGTCAGCGGGTGACCCACTGCACGTGTGCTCGGACAGGCCGACACTTAGCCACGTTCACCCGTCGACCAGGGTCGAGCCTATACACCCTTACTACCGAGTCTCCTCCGGCTGCTCAGTCTGGCCAGGTAGCTGCGTCGAGTCACGTGTTTGATGCAGTGTCCAGGTTTGGTCCTGAGTCTGCTCCCTGCTCGTGTCGTCTACTGTCCCACCAGACTCTCCTTTGGCACCACCGCCTTGGTCACCCCTCCCTGCCTCGTCTCCAAGGCATGGCCTCCCGTGTCCTAGTCTCTGGTCTCCCTCGGTCTTTCCCTCCCCTACCTCCAGGGCCTGGCCCTACCTGCGTCCCCTGCGTCGAGGGGCGGCAGCGCGCTGCCCCTCACTCCTCCGAGTTTCCTCCGACAGAGGCTCCGTTGCAGACTCTTCACATGGACGTGTGGGGCCCCGCCCGCGTCCGTGGCCAGGGGCACGAGCGTTACTTCTTGTTGGCAGTTTTACCACCCCACCTCGCGCTGTGTTCTGTCCTCCCAGGACGTCACCTTTGATGAGTCGGTGCCTTACTACCGTCTCTTCCCCTACTGCACTGCGCCCCTACCCCCGCCGCTGCTCTTCCTTGCGCTAGGTCCTCCCCCGGTAGACCCCCTCCCCCCATAGGGTCCTGCCCCGTCAGGTGTGTCCCATGTAGACGCAGTCAGGCCTTGTGCTTCTGTACTTTGCTAAGTCTTGTGCCTACCTGGCCTCACTTGCTCACTTCTTGATCTTGTTTGTACTGTACTCTTTCTATACCTGCACTTGCTTGTTTACCTTTATATATATGATCTTGCATGTGAACTGGCCTTGTGGCCTTACTCTTGTGCTCGGACCGTGTGGTGACTTTGTGATCCACCCTGAGCTTGCTTTGCTCTGCTTGATTGGTCTTGTGACCACTTCTTCTCCCCCACTTTGCCTATGAGGGTGTGTCAGAACATTATAGCTTATACATTTGTGTAGGCAGTAGTGGGGTAGCCCATAAGGGGTACAACCCAATTAGGGCTAGTACTTGTACCCAACTCTTTCATAGTTCAATCATCCTCATTTCTCATCATTGTTTTCTTATCATTCACTATAAAGCACATATAGGTATGTCATTATTGACGAGAAACGAGAATGGATGCATTTAGCAAAAAAGGGGAGTACAAGTGGGAAACCTTAAAGTGTTGTACCCCATATGAACTGCCCCACTACAGCCTACACAGACTACAGCAGCGGAGAGCAATGTGCTTCGTTCTGTGCTCCAGTCTGTGCTCCCGACACAAGGCCAGCATGGCCTTGTTGTCTACGTACAGAACTGGAGGAGAACGAGGCGGCTCTCCTAGGTCAGTCAGCAGGTAGGTGAGCCAGCGTAGCTCCTGTGCAGCCATAGCCCCTGCATAGATCTCAGCCTCACAGCTGGAGGTGAGAACAGAGGACGAGAGGGTAGACCGCCACGAAATAGAGCCGGAGCCAAGGCTGAAGGTGTAACCCTGTGACGACCGCTGCGTAGCCTGGTTGTCAGCCCAAGAAGCGTTTGCGTGACCTGTGAGGACCACTCGACATCGCCCTCCAAGCACTAGCCCCATGCCCGACGTATTGCACACGTAGCACAACACCCTCTTCGCTGCAGCCATGTGCTCTGGTCGGTGTCTCCCAGGAGCAACATAGCGTGCCAAGATGCTAAGAGGGTATGCAAGGTCAGGTCGTGTGCAGGTCATCAGGTACATGAGGCAGCCAACAAGCTCTGGGTATGGGCCACTCGGCTCTACGGACTCATCCGAAGGCAGAGCTGAGACTGGAGTTGGTGCTGCTAGGGGGTCTAACGGGGGAGGACCTGGAGCAAGGAAGAGCGGCGGCGGGGGGAGAGGCACAGTGCGGTAGGGGAAGAGACGGTAGTAAGGTATCGACTCGTCAAAGGTGACGTCCTGGGAGGACAGAACTTGGCGCGAGGTGGGTTGGTAAAATTGCTAGCCAAGCGCGTCAGGGGGGAAGCCAAGGAAGACGTAGGGAACAACACGGGGGGACAGCTAGTCCGCAAACAAGTCGCGGACAAACGCCCGAGATCCCCAGACTCTAAAAGCAGACGCATCGCCAACCTTCCCAGTCCACCGCAAGGCGGGGGAGGTCTCTGGCAAGGAGACCCGGGGCTGAAGGTTGAGCTGATGCGCGGTGTACTGAACCGCAAACGGCCACAGAAAATGGGGGGCAGCCGCATGCATCATGGACGTACGAGCGACGTCCATGACCATGCCAATGCGGCGCTCAGCAATCCCATTTTGCTGTGGAGAGGTCGGAAGCATGAAGATCTGGGTGATGCCCTGTGCATGATAGAAGGCTCCCAGACGGGCACAGGAAAACTCTCCGCCTCTGTCCGAATGCAGACGCAAAACAGGAAAGTCCGAGCCGAAACTCTCTCGGAGCTGGAGACGAGCTGCGCGGATCCAATCGATCAACACCTCAGTGACGTCACCCTTGCTGCGCAAGGGGAAGACTGTGGTGTAACGCGAGTAGTCGTCAACCATCAGCAGGAAGTACCGCTCGCGCACCTGCCCACTGACGCGGGCGGGGCCCCACACGTCCATGTGGAGAGTCTGCAGCGGAGCCTCTGTCGAAGGAAACTCGGAGGAGTGAGGGGCGGCGCGAGGGGCCGTAAGGGCGGCCAAAGGGGCCACTAAGGGCGGCTCGAGGGTAGGTAGGGCTCTCAAAACGCGACTCGGGTAGGAGTGAAGCGCGCTACGGGCACAAAAAAAAGTCGTGGTGGGCCCTAGGCAGCATTCCCACTTGGGAACATGCTCGATACCATGATGAGAAACGAGTATGATTGAACTATGAAAGAGTTGGGTACAAGTACTAACCTTGATTGGGTTGTACCCCTTATGGGCTACCTCACTACAGCTTACACAAATGTATAAGCTATAATGTTCTGACAAAAAAACATGCTACAAAATCTACATCACAAAGTTGAAAGGGCACAACACATCATTGTTGTTGGAATAACCGAAATGTTATCATAACATTCTCGAAGGTTATACACTCTCGCGTCACTCCATAATAAAGCAACTGAGAAAACTGAAACGAGAATGAAATGACTAAGTGAAAGTTGGGTACAAATGCAGCCCTAGAAAGCTGTACCCCATATGTGCTACCCCACTATAGCCTACAACAGCTATGTCATACAAATCTGACACACCCCCATAGGCAAAGTGGGGGAGAACAAGGGGTCACAAGACCAGTCAAGCAAAGCAAAGCAAAGCTCAGGGTGGATCACAAAGTCACCACACATTCCGAGCAGAAGTTCAAGGCCAGACGGCCAGTTCACATGCAAGAGCACACATATATATATAAAAGGCTAGACAAGTAAGAGCAGGAGTATATATATGTGACAGTACAAGCAAGGTCAAGAAGTGAGCAAGTGAGGCAAGACAGGCACAAGACCAAGCTGAGTACAGAAGCGCTGATGATCACAAGGCGCAAGAGCCTTAGTGAAGATATCAGCAGTGTCGGCCTCAGAGGCCACGTACGCAAGTCGCAACTGACCACGCTGCTGCAGCTCACGAGCAAGAAAGTAGCGGAGAGCAATGTGCTTCGTTCTGTGCTCCAGGCGCTGCTCCCGACACAGGGCCAGCATGGCCTTGTTGTCTACGTACAGCACTAGAGGAGAACGAGGCGGCTCTCCGAGGTCAGTCAGCAGATAGGTGAGCCAGCGTAGCTCCTGAGCAGCCATGGCTCCGGCGTAGATCTCAGCCTCACAACTGGAGCCAAGAACAGAAGACGAGCGAGTAGCCCGCCACGAAACAGAGCCGGAACCAAGGCTGAAGGTGTAACCCTGTGACGACCGCTGCGTAGCCTGGTCGTCAGCCCAAGAAGCGTCTGCGTGCCCAGTGAGGACTACTGGACTCTGCCCTCCAAGCACTAGCCCCATGCCCGACGTACTGCACAAGTAGCGCAACACCCTCTTCGCTGCATCCATGTGCTCTGGTCTGTGTCTCCCAGGAGCAACATAGCGTGCAAGAATGCTAAGAGGGTATGCAAGGTCAGGTCGTGTGCAGGTCATCAGCTACATGAGGCAGCCAACAAGCTCTGGGTACGGGCCACTCGACTCTACGGAATCATCCGAAGGCAGAGCTGAGAGCAAGTGGCGAGTAGACAGAGGAGTGGCCTGAGGCAAGGAGTACGTGAAGCCGAAGCGCTTAAGGACCTGCTGCACCATGTGTGACTGGGTCAGGGTAATGGTGCGGCGTGCTCTGTCCCGGGTGATCTGCAAGCCAAGGTAGCTGCGCAGTTCACCCAGGTTTGTGCACGTGTGTCTCTTCTACAGCTCGGACTTCACGTGGGCTAGTCCAGCAGTGTCAGCAGTGGCAAAGACCAAGTCGTCGACGTACACGAGGATGTAGAACGGCGGCAAAGAGGTGTCGGTGCAT